ACTCTAATTTTAGCTTTATAAACCATACACTAAGTCACGAGGAGTGTTACAAATTTTACATTTACAATATCCCCTCAGTGGTAATGCTAAAAACCAGGTTTCGATAAATTTGGTGGGCACAGCACAATTAGCCAATCGTATAGTTTTGCGCTTAACAACAACAGAAGAAAACGTTTATAATTTACGATTTAGAAAATGAAAAAATAATATAATTCGATTTGGAAATTTTCAAAATCTTGTCCAGAGGTTGCAGGCTTTTAAAATACTTATTAGCAATTTAAGTTTTGTAAATTACTGCTACATATATGAAATTTCTAACATGCAGCTAAAAATCTAGAAATCTCTGTGGTTTGAATGAATAGCAGACATAGTGTTGTAGAAAAACTATTACACACTCTTCTTCTCTAAAAAGCCTAATACTATTTATTGTCTTATGGCAAATATAATTGAGTGCAATAAACGTTTGAAAAAATCAGTATTTGTTTTCACAGCTTTTGTTGAATAAAACTCAAGGCAAAGACAAACTAAACTGTTCTGTATTTTTAATACTTTTGATATCATGCTTTAAATCCGACTACAAAGAATAAGACGGCTGAGCATGCTGTGCTTTTAATTTCTCCTCATATCTTGAGTATGAAATCAAAATGTTTATCTAGTAATACTACGTGTCCGCTAGGGTAAAATCATTTTATGACAAGTATAGTAGTGGCATCTAGTGGTAAAAGTGTTAATTACATACGATTGTTTCTAGAGTGACTCAAGTATAATAGATTTAAAGATAAACAGTATTGCATATTGCCCTAAATATTAAGTAGTTTAAAGTTAAGCATAACTACAAATATTAAACAACCATTTCCAAGAGAGCTTTTTAGTAATATAGACAACAGAAAAGCGGTCTGTCTGATATGATTGAAAGAACAGTCTGAGTAGTTTACAGTCTTCGGATGTGTTACTAACTCAAATAAAACTATTCGTTGTCGAACGTAAATTTATTCAAAACAGTGGTTTGTATATAATGGTTTTAATCTAATTCTCAGTTGGAAAGTAAGAAAGACACGATTTTTTGTACTTTTTGTTCAATTTAAAAGTAAAGAAAAACCTTTTCCTTTTCATTAAGCAATTTTATTAGCATAGTTGAATTTCATACACACTCTGAATGGTGATAAATATTCTGCTGAATGATTCATACAATATAGATTGTGCTTTATATTTTGAAGTGTAGAAAGATACACACTACAGTAGAGATAGTTTGGTAAAAGTCAGTGTCCGCTGGATACCACTTTAAATCCAATATATTAGATAATTTTCCATTCTCTTTCAATGTGCAGAGCAAGAAAACAGTTTATTGTTTACTTCATAAATGATATTTTATTCAGAATATTTAGTTTTACCTTTTCAATGTGTAGAACAAGAAATGTTTACTTGATAAATAATATTTTATTCAGAATATTTAGTTTTACCTTTTCAATGTGTAGAACAAGAAAAGTTTCTTGTTTACTTGATAAATGATATTTTATTCAGAATATTTAGTTTTTGTTACCCTTCGAATATGAATAGAGAAAGAATCAAACACTTTTTAAAAGTTTCGGTTTTTCAGTTTACTTAGTGCTTATAAATATCATTTTAATAAAAGTTACAGCTTTTACACAAAGGAATGATATTTTCAAAACAGACACGAAGTTTCAATCACTGTGCGATTATTCTCAAGTTCTCAAGTTTTAACGGTAAAGAAGGTTTTAGTATTTAAATCAACATTCAACAATGTATTTAAATTTTAGAATTGATAGTAGTTACTTATGCAAGGGCATATCAATCCATGTGAATTGACAGATTATTTATAGCTGAACAGAAAAAACAAACAAAAAGTGAATAAACATGAAAATGTTGTGCGAAATATTTACATAAGATTTAGAATGTTTGGGGGAATAACGATGAAAGACATATAGAGATGTGTCTGGGTATTTATTAATTGTGGGATTATTTGATTCTATCAATAAGGCTGCTCTGATTTTTCTTCTGTTAATGTCAGATTCATGTTTTAGTACTATGACATTCTGTTCAGAAAAACTGTTTGCTTTTGTTTACATGTTCATGGAGTTGGGAAGGTTTTTTTTAGGTATTCTTTTAACCTGATGTTCAAGTTACGTCCTGTTTCAGTTAAATAAAAGGATGGGCAGTTATTGTACTTTATTTATGTATTTATTTTTATTTGCTAATATTTTCTATATATGGGATATATGCACATACATAAGTAGCCACTATCAATTCTAAAATTTAAATACATTATTAGATTGTTGAATGTTGATTTAAATACTAAAACCTTTACCATAACAACTTGTGTACTTGAGAATGATCGCACCACTGATCGAAACATCGTATCTGTTCTAAAAACATTCTTCTTTAATGTAAAATAATACTTTCTTTGTGTGTTTGAATTTATGAAGACTTGTTGAAATGAATTAGAATACGTGCTTTTGAAAATGAAGGGAGAATCATAATATTTTGTTCTTGTTGAATTGATTACAATATCAATTATATTTAAGGATAAATCAAAGGGCGTTACTTTACTATTAGTTTGCTCAATCTTTTAAGAAAATATCCTTTTTAAATTTACTGACTGTATGTGACAAACAGTTGATTGTTTTCTAACCAAAGAAATAACTAGATAGTTTAAGGCTTTGAATCAGTCAAATACTCTTTCTTAGCTTTTAGAACAATGGTAAGTTTGTCTTCAAAGCCACTTAGTGAAACGAAAACAAAACTTATAAAGATGTCTTAATAATAAATGCTAAACTCTCTTTAGATAATTTAGAATTGTTTTATTCGTATAATGTTTTGTGCCTTGAAAGGTGCTGTTCTAAATCTGTGCGTGAAACCTTAGGGTTTTATGAGGCATTAAGTCCAACCAGATGTCGACTTTATGTTAACAGGCTTAGTTTTCTTCTGTTCCTTCGTCTTCAAGAAGTGGAGTATTATTTCCCAAAAGAATTCGGCACATTCTACCACAGTGATGAAAGAGATTCCCATGAAGAGACCAAGATTTCCCCCGATGTTTGCCATCAACGTTTCCCACTTTAATAAAACAAAGAGACAAATTTAGAAACACAGCTGAGAATCCCAACCGAGGAGAAACATGTAAACACACAGCTGAGGATACCCAGTGAGGAGAAACGTGTGGAAACACAGTTAAGGATCGTAGGTGAGGAGAAACGTGTAGAAACAAAGCTGCGGATGTTAAATGAGGAGAAACGTGTAGAAACACAGGTACGAATGTCAAGTGAGGAGAAACGAGTGGAAACACACGTAGGGGTGTCAATTCAGAAGAAACATTTAGAAACACAGCTACGAATGCCAAATAAGCAGAAACGTCCAGAGACACATGTAGAGATTCCAAATAAAGAAAAAGCGTGTAGAAACACAGGTACGGATGCTGAGTGAGGCAAAACGTGTAGAAACACTGCTACGGATGCCAAGAAACGTATAAAACAAAGATAAGGCTGCAAAACGAGAAAACACGTGTATAAACAGTTTTTTATTTTGTTTTCCTAGTAAGTTTCAAAGTTGAAAATAAACAACTTAGCTACAACTTTGAGAATCATAATATTTATAAAGATGATATTTATTGTTTGATGTAAGAACAAATGAAGATGGTATTTATTGTTTGATGTTTGATCTTGTCGTTTTCATCTGCAAAACTATATTTTCATAAAACTGAAAAGTTTTGTAACGTATTGTCTTATTTATTTAGTAGTAGGTCTGTTTTAGTAAACAATCTAACACTAGAAACTAAACCACATTTAAAGTGTAACTTTATATTGATCGTTTTTTCTCGTTTAGCAGCAGGTCTTTTCAAACAGTCTAACACTGGCTATGCTACTAATATTAAAGACAATCCTACTTACATTGTATTGTGGCGCCTCTTCTATCTTCTGGTAGTTGTTACTGAGGAAGTAAATATGTAGACCAGCAAACAAACTGCACAAAAAACAAACACGACTTTTCTTTAGGAGATTCAAATCTATTATGACTACATCTTATATGTATGATGCTGCGTTAAAATAAAACATTCACAGTTTCACTTAACCGGTTACAGTACTGGGATTAAGAGACAGTGAGGGGCGGGTGGTTAGGGCGCTTGACTCGCAATCTAAAGGTCGCGGGATCGAATCCCAGTTTCACCAAACATGCTCGCCCTTTCAGCCGTGGGGACGTTATGAAGTTACTATCAATCCCACTATTCGTTGGTAAAAGAGTAGCCCAAGAGTTGGCGGTGGGTGGTGATGACTAGCTACCTTCCCTCTAGTCTTTCACTGAGAAATTAGGGACGGCTAGCGCAGATAGCCCTCGTGTAGCTTGGCGCAAAATTCAAACAGACAGAGTGAGAAAGTCGCTTTAGGACCTAAATCCCGAGGAAGCAGAACAGCATTTTATCTGGGTAGTTATTTTAAGTGAAGAAGGTTTCAACAGATGGCGCTTATAGTTACGTATGTGTATCCTAAAAGTGATTGAAACATAACTTGGAGAAGTTCTACGTAAAAAAAGATACAACCTAGTTTTAAAATTTTTCCTAAGCAAAATATTGGCTTAGACTAAACCTAGGCTCTATATTTGTAACTTAAGCTATAAAAAGTGGGAAAGAAAATGTTCTATACAACTCCTATAAAGTAGCAACTAACTGATGATAAACACGAAGTGAAGACAAATAAAGTGAAATAAATGTTTTAAAACACAAGCCTAAATTGAAAATTAATACTCATCAAACAATGGTTTCTCTTCACCAATTCTGTCCAGGAGGAGGGGAGAACTTCTGTCAAATAATTCTTGTTATGTATCAAAGAGAACGAAGATTGGCGCTCGATGTTTTCAATTAACATTAATGTATTTGTTGTCCTCTAGAAATCATGCACCCAGACTTTAGTAACTGTGGATTTACTTGATGTAATAAAGTAGAATATCAATAAACGCTTACTCGTCAAAACCAAAGGAGCAGGAAAACTTGTTTAAATCATTCAGCTTTCTCGACTTCGCCCCTTGAATGATTTTCCAGAAGTCGTAGTTCAAGTGACTTGATGATCGTGTTATCTCGTATTGACGCTCTCTGCAAGTTTAAAACACGCGTCATTTATACCAAAACATCAAAATTAAGATAAATAACACTATAGGAGATTAATTTAAACTACTTTTATATAAATATAGAACGGATATTATACCATTCGTCGAAAAGTTATTTGACAAAAACACCTATTACCTACTGATAAACTCCCGTTTACACACAAAGTTCAAATAACCACACGCATTGGCTTTCATGTGTTACAATGTAATTAAACTGTAACAAGGTCAGTAGGTGAAGTTTCATGATGAGCACGTAGTCAGCAGGTGATTACTAATTTCATTATTACAATGTGATTAAAGTGTAATAAGGTCGGTCGTAATGTATCTATTGCTCATATTTTAACCAAAACGTTTATCCAATGACCGCACGTTAGCATCAAACTTTACCCTCTGATCACATGCTAATCACGAAAAACCATCTATTGACTACGTGATCATCATGAAATTTCACCTACCGACCTTATTACAGTTTAATTACATTGTAATAATGAAATTAGTAATCACCTACTGACTACTTACTCATCATGAAACTTCACCTACCGACCTTATTACAGCTTACTCACATTGTAATAATGAAATTAGTAATCACCTATGTAGATATGTGACTGTGCTTAAGTAAAAAAACACAACGATGCTGAAGAAAACTTTTATCTTACCTGCAAGCTGGGTGACAATTACATTGTATGGTGTCGTTGTATATCATGTTTAGAACGTTCTTAAAACAAGCCCCTAAACGACAAGAAATATTATTTTTATTACTGGTCCCAATTCAATATAATATTAAGTAAAGTAGACACTTCATTATTGTCGTATATAATGTAGTGGTAAAAACTCGCCAAATTAAAATAACTTTATTAAAAAAACAAGAAAACGTTTCGGGCAAAAGTCCTTCATCAGGTTATCAGTAATTCCATTTTGTTATTTCCTCATCTACACAATTTTTTATTTCTTGAACTAATCTACAATTTCATTATTATCGGGCATAATTCAGTATATTATTACATATATATATATATATCATTATTATCGGGCATAATTCAGTATATTATTACATATAATATATATCATTATTGTCGAGCATAGTTCAATATATTGTTATAATCATATTTCATAATTGAACGTCATACAGTTCAGTATATTATTACATATAATACAGAGTGTTTCATTATTGTACGTAGTGCCGAGTTAACGATATTGAACAAAATGTATTGGTTACTTTCCTGTCTTTACTTACCTTTGTTTTTGTCGAGTAATTGACACTTCTTATATGGATAAGTTGTGTTTTTCCCGTAAACTGGGTGAATACAATGACATATCTCCTTCACATAGTAAGCGACACAGCCCTTCTCACAGTCCTTTAAACAATACATCATGATCTGGTTAACTTATGAACAGCATCCTATACCTTATATTTAACATCACGATCTGGTTAAATTATGAACAGCATCATATACCTTATATTTAACATCATGATCTGGTTAAATTATGAACAGCATCCTATACCTTATATTTAACATCATGATCTGGTTAACTTATGAACAGCATCCTATACCTTATATTTAACATCATGATCTGGTTAACTTATGAACAGCATCCTATACCTTATATTTA